ATTACATTTCCGATATGGAAATGTTTAATTTAGAAAATCTATCTAGACAATAAACAAACGACGAAATGAAAAGCTCATGACGCTGTATTTGATGAAAGACAAACATGACTATTTCAGAAGTTTTATTTGGTAAAACGACATGGGAAAAAAATGACTATCTCTTAACGTTGTATTTCATTAAAATTTATAGAAATCGCTAGCTCAGAAAAACGTTGAACATGATAAAATCACGCAGAAATTGCTTGATCAGGATTTTGAATGTGATAAAATATCACAGAAATGGCTGGCTCACTTCATCGTATTGGATACAATTACATAGAAATAGTACAAAGACATGACTAGCTCAGAATATAAGCCTAATTGATAAAAGTACATAGAAATGACTAGCTCAGAATATAAGCCAAATTGATAAAAGTACATAGAAATGACTAGCTCAGAATATAAGCCTAATTGATAAAAGTACATAGAAATGACTAGCTCAGAATATAAACCTAATTGATAAAATTACATAGAAATGACTAGCTCAGAATCTTGTATTTGATAAAATTACATATTTACCTCCGTCTCCTCCATCACATGTCATGAATGTATTCATAATATAAAAAATACATAAACAGAACATAAAAATCATAAGCCACCAGGCTGGACTGCAACTATACAACAGGGATTGTCATTTATTGCCGGAAATGAATTAATAGAGCGCTGTAATCATGCGGGTACTCGGGTCGGTCAAAATTTTAACATTGTTCAGTACTTCTATGCCAGCGTAGCGGCCCTTGACCTAAATCAAAACTTGTTCGTAACTATATTTTATGGAAAATGTTACACTTTTTTTTACTGATATTTTGTAACATGGGTTTATATTGCACGTACGGCACATGTAACAATGATAGAGATTCAGGGATCGTCCAAACAATATTCTGAAACACACTGTTAGCTGTCATGGTTTTTGAAATATTTGTCCGACATTCTAAAAATAGTAACGCTATGACGCTTTCCGGTCTGAGAATTGACAAACACCTTTATGTGTTTAATCTTGTAAGCAGGAGACGACAATCCAGTATCACTGTTGTAGATTTAAAGACGTTGGTTGTGTCAGGAGACTTGAACATTGGCGAAGATTTCAATAAAATAAACCTGAAATATAAATTACAAAAGTGACATCGCACATAAACAAAAGTTTGGGTGTACAGGGAAATAAGAGGATTCATGAACTATGTATTGGGTGTTCATAAGATTTATAACTATGTAATGGGTGTTCATAAGATTTATAACTATGTAATGGGTGTTCATAAGATTTATAACTATGTAATGGGTGTTCATAAGATTTATAACTATGTAATGGGTGTTCATAAGATTTATAACTATGTAATGGGTGTTCATAAGATTTATAACTATGTAATGGGTGTTCATAAGATTTATAACTATGTAATGGGTGTTCATAAGATTTATAAGTATGTAATGGGTGTTAATAAGATTTATAACTATGTAAAGGGTGTTCATAAGATTTATAACTATGTAATGTGTGTTCATAAGATTTATAACTAAGTAATGGGTTTTCATAAGATTTATAACTATGTAATGGGTGTTCATAAGATTTATAACTATGTAATGGGTGTCCATAAGATTTATAACTCTGTAATGGGTGTTCATAAGATTTATAACTATGTAATGGGTGTTCATAAGATTTATAACTATGTAATGGGTGTTCATAAGATTTATAACTATGTAATGGGTGTTCATAAGATTTATAACTATGTAATGGGGGTTCATAAGATTTATAACTATGTAATGGGTGTTCATAAATTCTATATTTATGTAATGGGTGTTCACAAGATTTATAACTATGTAATGAGTGTTCATAAGATTTATAACTCTGTAATGGATGTTCATAAGATTTATAACTATGTAATGGGTGTTCATTAGATTTATACCTATGTAATGGGTGTTCATAAGATTTATAACATATAATTGGTGTTCATAAGAGTTATAACTATGTAATGGGTTTTCATAAGATTTATAACTATGTAATGGGTGTTCATGAAAAATGTTAATTATGTAATGAATTTTCATAATATTTCTAACTATGTAGGGGGATATTGTAAGATTTATAACTATGTAGGGGTATGTCCATAAGATTTATAACTATGTAGGGGATATTGTAAGATTTATAACTATGTAGGGGGATATTGTAAGATTTATAACTATGTAGTGGTATGTCCATAAGATTTATAACTATGTAGGGGGATATTGTAAGATTTATAACTTTGTAGGGGTATGTCCATAAGATTTATAACTATGTAGGGGGATATTGTAAGATTTATAACTATGTAGGGGTATGTCCATAAGATTTATAACTATGTAGGGGGATATTGTAAGATTTATAACTATGTAGGGGTATGTCCATAAGATTTATAACTATGTAGGGGGATATTGTAAGATTTATAACTATGTATATTGTTATGCGAGCATTACGTAGACTGTTGGTGAGCACTTATGAAAAGCTTGGAACATATGGGCTGTAGATCCAGGGGTCCTCGTATATTTGATGGAGGAAAAGTTGTCACATGAAGAAAAAAATCCAAGGGGAAAAAAAACAGTTTCAGGAGGCAGCCAGCAAAACATCACAAAGAAGTACTCACAGGCAAAACATCACAAAGAAGTACTCACAGGCAAAACATCACAAAGAAGTACTAACAGGCAAAACATCACAAAGAAGTACTCACAGGCAAAACATCACAAAGAAGTACTCACAAGCAAAACATCACAAAGAAGTACTCACAGGCAAAACATCACAAAGAAGTACTCACAGGCAAAACATCACAAAGAAGTACTCACAAGCAAAACATCACACACAAGTGCTCGTTAAACATCAGAAAGAAGTACTCACAAGCAAAACACCACACACAAGTGCTCGTAAAACATCACAAAGAAGTACTCACAAGCAAAACATCACACACAAGTGCTCGTAAAACATCAGAAAGAAGTACTCACAAGCAAAACATCACACACAAGTGCTCGTAAAACATCAGAAAGAAGTACTCACAGGCAAAACATCCCGTCAGGCAGTTGGCCAGGTTACCGGCCAGCAGGGCGGGTACTGCGATATCCGCCAACCATTTCTTCCTCTTTGGCAGGAAGATCTTCATCATGCCCATGTTGACTCCCAAAGACAACAAACTAGAGAAGCCGCACAGGGCGTATGTTGTGATGGCTTCTGACCGCTCCTGGACAAGAAGGTGCTCGCGTGATAATGGGAGGTTCAGAAATGATGACATGGAACTTGACTGAGGGCATGATTATTTCACTGAGGGCATGATTATTTCACTGAGGGCAGGATTATTTGACTGAGGGCATGATTATTTGACTGAGGGCAGGATTATTTAACTGAGGACGTGATTATTTGACTAAGGGCAGATTTATTTGACTAAGGGAGGATTATTTGACTGAGGGCATGATTATTTGACTGAGGACAATATTGTTTGACTGAGGGCAGAATCATTATGTGACTCAGGACAAGATTATTCAACTGAGGGCAGGATTATTTGACCGAGAGATTATTATTTGACTGAGGGCAGAATTATTTGACTGAGGGCAGGTTCATTTAACTGAGGGCAGGATTATTGCCTTTTTTTAAATATCCTAAGCGTCTGTACATATAACAGAAGTAGTCCTCACCGTTTTGTCTAAGGTGCAAGTTTCTAAAAAGTTAATGCTAAGAATACAACAAAGTTGTTGCTGTATAGCGAAACACATACTATATTTGACTACTAACTAAAACACATATTTCTTATTAAGGTTTGAGCTTACGATCTTAAAACCCGGCTGGTACATTGGCAACCAGCTCCGCGTGCTGAGCTGTGCCATGTGGGCGTACTTGCCATGTTAAAGGGATATTGTGGAGACTTTTTTAATTGTACCTTCTCCCGGAGAAAGATGCCGAGGCAACCCTCAACTTGCCTCGGGAGACAGACGATTTCGTGGGTTTCTTAGTTTCCGGTGTGTACCATAGAGGAAAAACCCTTGCCTACAATAGTTTCCTACTATATTTGCCTACCATATTTTCCTACTATATGTTCATACAATATTTGCATACTATATATGCTACTATATTTTTCTACTTTATTTGAATAATTTATTTCACCACTATATTTCAGTACTATATCTCACTAATATATTAGCTTACTATGTTTGCCTACTATATTTGCCTACTATATTTGCCTACTATGTTTGCCAACTATATTTGCCTGCTATATATGACTATTATATTTGATAAATATATTTGGCTACTATGTTTGCCTACTATATTTGACTACTATATTTGGCTACTATATTTGACTACTATATTTTCATACAATATTTGACTACTATTTGAGTGCTATGTTTGCCTACTATATTTGAATACTATATTTTCATACAATATTTGACTACTATTTGACTACTATATGTGTCAATATTTTCCCTCCGTTTGAGTTCACAACAGTTGGGAGAGTATGTTGTTAACTGCCGGTTAAAGAAGTGATTTAAAGTCAACCTTAGTGAGATAAAGTCAACCCTAGTGAGATAAAGGCAACCGTATTGAGATAAAGTCAACCTTAGTGAGATAATGTGAACTTTAGTGAAGTTAAGTCAACCTTAGTGAGATAATGTGAACTTTAGTGAAGTTAAGTCAATCTTAGTGAGATAATGTGAACTTTAGTGAAGTTAAGTCAACCTTAGTGAGATAATGTGAACTTTAGTGAAGTTAAGTCAATCTTAGTGAGATAATGTGAACTTTAGTGAAGTTAAGTCAATCTTAGTGAGATAATGTGAACTTTAGTGAAGTTAAGTCAATCTTAGTGAGATAATGTGAATTTTATTGAAGTTAAGTCAATTTTAGTGAGATAATGTGAACTTTATTGAAGTTAAGTCAATCTTAGTGAGATAATGTGAACTTTAGTGAAGTTAAGTCAATCTTAGTGAGATAAATTCAACCTTACTGAGATAAAGTGAAGCTGAGATTAATTGAAGCTTACTGAGATGAATCCAAACGGAAGCGTTACTCCCCACTGGTCGAGGATGACGTCATCGTTCACGTAGGTCACAGTGCCGTTTCCGCCCGTCTTTAACATGTAGTCGACATATTTCAACCTGTTGTTCTTAAGTTCAACGAACTGGCGAGACACAGCGAGGAAGGTTAAACCAACAATAGATCTTCAACTTTTGGCAGTAATAAATATTACTTTTTATAATATAATGAAGGATGCATGATCAAAAGATATATTTTATTTTTTTAATCAATAAAAATACTGCTTAAGAAAAATAGTTAAATTAATAAGTTTTAATAATACGGATAATTTTTTAAATGCATACTTTTTTTTTTAAAAAAGGAAATAGATTTCACGAAAGTGCAAGTTAATTAAACAACGCTTAAAAACAAAGTTTTTGGTGCAAATCCCTTTATATGATGCATTTTAATTATTTTTTTACATACTACTATTCTCATGTCCCACCCACTTTTACACTTCAGATATATTTCACCAACTATTTCAGAAAAAGCATAAGAATATATTACGCACCCAAACACTTTTGCGATAATTTTTTTCAAATTTGAAAGGTTAACTGGAAGTGGGTCAATTTGTCATCCGAAAATTTTGCCACCCACCCAGAAACACACGAGAAAAAAAAAAAAGCAAAGTAAATATACAGGATTTTAAAAAAAAATGGGTAAATGAATTCACGAAAGTGTGTGTTAAAAATGAAGAAGCCTGGACACGGGGCGTACCTTAAGGAAGGCAATAAGGATAGAGCTGCCAAGCCGGTACCCACATAGCATTGCGACCCGCCTGCAATCTTCTGGCGTGACGCCCATGGCCAGCGCAAAGGGGTACATTAAATACGACGATATCAGCTGCGGGACGAAAGTTTTAAGATACAAAAAATTAATTAAAATACATAACTGATTGAAAGAACGGATTGACAGGTCTTGCATAGTTTCGCGTCTGGTTTCTTGTCTTATTTCATGGAGACAAGGAAATATTCTGTGCTAGTTAAGTTTCAACATGGAATGAGTCGATGAACATTTTATTTATTTTCATTTATAAAATAATAATATAAACTGTCACTTTGAGAATTTTTTTTCAATACAATGTTATCTAGCAATAATTATTGTTCAACTGAAATACCGGTTCTCGACCTTTTTAGTGTCGTGACTAATTGAGAACATTTCACAAGACGTGGCGACCCTTTTGCATAATCAATAAGAGAAATTGAGAAATGGTTGCTGAGATGATAAGATGACTGGTATGATCATGGCTGTAATTATTGAAGAGTAGTCACAGAGTAGTGACAAGAAGAAACTTAACCAAATCACTGTATTAATATTTCTTTGTTAAATTTTAGCTGGTACAAATATTTGAAATGCACATTTAAAAGAAGGGAAAAATGACCAAAAAAAACCTTATATAATTAAAAAGTGACCACTGGCATATTTTCAGTCACCCCGTTGGGGATGCGACCCCACAGATAAAGAACCACCGAACTAAATCGATCAAATAGTAAAAACTGAGTGAAGAGCCATTCTTAGGATTTGGGGGGGGGGGGGAGGCCCTATGAATGGAGCGTTGGCAGGGGGCCACAAAGGGGGGGGGGGGCCGGGGGTGAAGCACCCTCCGGGGCTGAGGAGAAAACAGATTTGTGAGGTTTCATCACCTCCATTCGGCCTTCGTGACTGTTTCCCCTTTGCTCGCCTGCAACCTTTAACCCTATTGATAATTCCGCCACTAGAGAAAATGTTTACTTCTGAAATATATGGACCAGTTGCGGGCTTATTAAAAATAGCGCCCAGTTGGGCGGCCACTGTTTGCAGTTGGGCCCTAGGCGGTGGCTTAGTTTGCCCATGTCTAAGAACGGCTCTTCTGAGTGGTGGCTGTCGGTTTTTATAGAAGCGTCATAATTGATTACATCTGAAAGACTTATTACGAAAGCCGCTGTTTCTATCAACTAAAATCTTTGTGATTAAAAGATCCCTACCTCAATGGAGAGCGCCTTTACACCGACTCTGTCTCCGAACCAGGCCAGCGTGTTGTTGACCCAGGATATCAGACTTATTAAAGAGTAAGTGCTGACCGTAATACTTCCAATGATGCCCAGCATCATTAAGGCCCCCTCCTGGAAGGCGTCTAATGAATTGGTGTACTTGCTGCGGAATAGCATACCCACTTACCAAAAACATGTTGTATGCTAATTCGACTCAAATATAATTTAGTCATTACCATAAACCTACGAATTTCCACTTTACTTTTTTCACTGTTTATGCACAGGGACTAATGAAATTTAATGACATGAAAAATTGACAGGCTGTTAGTACAGGGGATAATGTAATTTATTGACATGAACAATTGACAGGCTGTTAGTTAATAGTCAAATTGGTTTTCAATCTTTTAAATAATTTTGAGTTTTCAACAGGAAGCAAAGCTCTTCACAACACATCCTTACACCCATTGTAAGTAAACTCTGTAATTCTCTAGCTATTGAGTAGGACGACCAAAATATCTCATATAATTAATGTGCAGCAGCCAGCCAATGCTCAACAGCGAATGTGCACTAGCCAATGTTCAGTAGCCAATGTGCATTAGACAATGAACACTAGCCAATGTGCACTGGCCCATTTGCACTAGCCAATGTGCACTTGCCTATGTTCACTAGCCAATGTGCACTAGCCAATTTGCAGTATCTCATCTGCATTAGCCAATATGCACTAGCCAATGTACAGTAGCCAATGTGCACTGGCCAATGTGCATTAGGCAATACGCAGTGGCCAAAATGCAATGGCCAATTTGGACTACCCATGGTTCATCCAAGACAACGAAGGGCACATAGGATAACGTGAAATACTTGAGAGAGCCCCCCCCCCACCCTTTTTCTAAATACTGCAAAGAATGGCGAAGAAATTTCCTAGCGGAAAGGTATTCCTGCCCAGTTGGCACAAACTCTAGCTAAACCACTGACGTCACCCACTCTTTCGTCAAGTTAAAAAACTCTTCAAATTTTAAAATTGAATTCTGTATGAAGCCAATGTCGTTCGGTAATTAGTTTGGCCCATTTCTTCTAAAACCTTATTGTGTGACTACAAGATGTTAGATAAATATTTACCGTTTCTCTTCCTCGCCTATTTCGGTTAGTTTGACATTTTTCTTGCGACTCGTCTCTGGAACCATGAGCTTACAGATAGTGAATACGGCAGGGGCGGAGATCAGCATTGCTCCTATAATAAGATCTAGTGGCACCTGGTAAAAAATAAAATTTGGTTGAAACTTTTGTTGACGCTTCTGATATCTGATATGTTAAAAGTCTTGGAAAACCCGTTAAAATAAATTTGTGAGCTCCATGGTAGTTTATTTTGAGGGGTCTTATGCTGAATTGAATTGTTTTCTAAAGAAAGAAAGTGGAGTGGGGCTCTAGGCTGAATTGAATTGTTTTCTACAGAGGGAAAGACAATGGACTACATATTAAAATCTAGATTAAGCAACATACAATTTGATCACTTAGCAGCTACAGTTTAAAACCGTGGTCACAAAACTGAGTGTCCAACGATTAAACTATACACGTTAAATTTTATTTACCCAACCTACCAACCCAAACCACCAATACAGACCCACGAACCCACCCATCCGACCCACCATCAAACAACTTACCGACAACCCTACTTGCCAGCAACCCCAACCTACCAACACAACCCACCCATCCAAACCAATCAGACCCACACATTAACCCAACTTACCAGCAACCCAACATACGAGCAACCAAACTTACCGACCCACCCCACCAACCCAACTTAAAACCCACCCCATCAACCCAACTTACCTATCCAACTTACCAACCCACCCCGTCAACCCACCCCACCACCCCAACTTACCAATCTAACATACCAACCCACCACATCAACCCACCCCACCACCACATCACACTTACCGAACTTATCAACCAATTCCACCAACCCAACTTACCAACCAATTCCACCAACCCAACTTACCAACCAATTCCACCAACCCAACTTACCAACCAATTCCACCAACCCAACTTACAAACAATTTCCACCAACCCAACTTACCAACCACTTCCACGAACTCACCCCACCCATCCCACCAACCCAAATTACCAACCAATTCTACCAACCCCCCAACAACACCAACAACCTATCCCACAACCCAATTTACCAACCCATCCAACTAATCCAACTTACCCCCATCTGGACCAGAATGGCCAAGAAGGTGCTCCCAATAGACGAGTAGCACGATGAGATGACCAGGAACAGTTGCGACTTGGTCAAGGTGTGCAGGTAAGGCCTGAATGTCGACAGCGTCGTCCACTTATCCAAGAGACACGGTGAAAATAGATTTACATTATACCTTAAATAGCCCCCCCCCCCCTTTTCCTTTCACACAGACACTCAAACATGTTGGTGATCCATGATGTTGGGTATGACTTACATTTGGTAATCTAACCGAAACCAAACCATCGGACTCGAAACCTGATGACAACCAAACCCCAAACCTTTACGGCAACCGAACCCCAACCCTTATGACAACCGAACCCTTTTAACAGCCGAACCCTGACGCAAACCGAACCCGAACCCTGATGACAACCTAACCTGAAACCTGATGACAACCGAACCCGAACACTGATGACAGCCGAACCCTTGTGACAACCAAACCCGAACACCGATGAAAACTGAAACCAAAATGAAACCAGAACTCAAAGTCACTGAGACAGCACAAACCCGAATCACACTATCGCAAACTTATTGGAGCCGACATTTGTTTTTACTAATGTGGTACATCACAACTTACCCCAGAAATGCTTATATTATAAAGAAAACCTCAAAAAGCCAGTTATTACAAAACTGTTTTTGTTTGTAAATCATAGGATATATAATTTTTTTTATCACTACCCACCTCTCAATAAACTGCCAACAAACTGTCGTGCAAAATCGTGTTTTAAATTATAGCTCGACAAATTCAACAACACATTCTGGACGACTCGTGTATCATCATTCAAAAACAAACAAAATTTAGTATAGTGTACAGATCAAATACACACGATTTTGTAATAGAATTCTCAGCAAGCATTCCAGATTGAGAAGAATGTCAAGCCGTTTCGTGCCATCATTGCTGTCAGCATGAGATATTAACATTAAGCCCAATATAAATGTATATCGCCAAAATTGTTTTCATGAATTACAGTTATATAAATCCCGATGCACTACGACAGCAGGGGGGGGGGGATTTATTTTCCAATGTTTTAGTTCTATTCTTAATTTCTGTTTTAAAAGACAATTCTAATGTTTATAGCTAACACCTGGCCTAAACTGGTCCTTTCTTGATAATAGTAGAGATACATTGAAAATTGCCATTTAGGGTGTTATGGACGAGCACTAGCCCGTGGGGGTTGGGGGTGAGGGTGGAGTCATCAGTAAAATCAGGAATTGAAATGGAAAAAAGCCAATTGAAGTTTAATTAAAAACATAAAGAGCTTTTTTAATAACCACGTAGTTATCGTAAATTTTTGAAAGGCTGCAACTTTTCGTACCCGGGTACCAGAAGTGAGAGGTTGGGATTAAAAAAACTATTTAAATTTTATTGTTGGGTTTGTAGGACAAAATCAGGTATCAAATGAAAGACAATTGAATGGGCTTTATGTTTGTAAACTTAATTCTTCAGTTTAACTAATATAAACTACCACAAATGACATCCGAATAGCTTGAGTCTAATGGTACCCGGGTGCGAATGGCGGCGCTGCGTGTCTGGGTCCATTTTGACTCAGTGCTATTCGGATGCCATTTGGGGTTGTCTAGGAAATTAACAAAAAGCTGTCTAGGAAATGAACAAAAAGCTGTCTAGGAAATGAACAAAAGCTGTCTAGGAAATGAACAAAAGCTGTCTAGGAAATGGAGACAAAAAGCTGTCTAGGAAATGAACAAAAGCTGTCTTAGGAAATGGAGACAAAAAGCTGTCTAGGAAATGAACAAAAGCTGTCTTAGGAAATGGAGACAAAAAGCTGTCTAGGAAATGGACAAAGAGCTGTCAAACCTAAGTTGATAAAAGTAAAAGTTGTTTATGTATGAAAATATTCTAAATTTTTTAATGTATTTTTAAATATTTTTTTTTTTGTAGCGTAATAAACCAATTTGTAAAAAAAAGAAAGAAAAATGTCTCGACCAATCAAGTGAGATTACTTCCTGTGGAAAAAAGGGACCACAAATTAGCAATTGACTTTTGTTGCTCAGCTCACATAATAGATTGACCGTGTTTCATTAATTCAGCGCCCAAATGTAAAAGGGGAGTAAGTGCGCTAATAACATGCTTCTCTTACCCCTTCCATGAACGTCCCAGCAGCGACGGCCATGGACTCAATAGGCGATGTGTCCAGGACGAACTGAAGGAAATTCCCGAAGACTCTTATGGTAAACTGCATGGCTCCACAATAGTACAAGAGCGTTATCATGCCATTGATGAATAAAAGCAGAGGCATCGCCTAAATGGGGGTACGTTAAATACAAATATTCAGTTTTTTTTAAATCATTATCTTTTTACGGATTTATGCTTGCTAGAGATAACATTGAATATCAGAGATCGGATTCATGAAAGCTAAACTTGGTTGATGCTTTTGTTTTAGGTGTAGAAAATTTAATGTACAAAAAATAAAGACGACTTTTTCGTTTAGAGGCTATGAGTTTCAGTGAGTTTCAGAAAACATCAATATGAAGCTTAATCAGAGCCCACCTGATTTAGCCATCTGCATTGAGAACCAATCTCAATTCGTTACCTTACACCATTCGGTACCTTACACCATTCGATGCCTTACGCCATTCGGTGCCCTGCTCCATTCGGTACCCACCCCCATTGGGTATCCAATTCCAATCGATAGCCCCTATACCCCGTCTATCCCATTCAGTACTTTATAAATCCACAGATTAATGTATTTTAATCTGGTTTGCAGTACCCGTCATACACCATTCATTTTCCAAAATACCCCATTCAATACCCAAAAGGCCGCATTCAGTGCCAAGTATACAACGTTATGTACCAAGCGTATCACATTCAGCAGTCAGACATAATCCCCATTCAGTTTAGTTTTCAGCATATAACATTCAAAGTTTATCAGCTACCATCTTCACCAATCAGCGGCCGTCAACACTCAAAAAATGCATACCCCAAACATCAAGAAATGATCTCTGAAATTTTTTCCAAACACGACTATCGAACCAGCGTCGGCGTTTGCGAGGAACTCGTCCACTCTAGACTGCAGCCACCAGACGGCGTCTTTACCAGTTTGCCACTTCATTATGAACATGGAGAACAGGAACTGGAGACCAACACTCCAGAATATCGTGTGGTAGTTGACCTTCGTGAGGAAAAAAAAACAAAACAATAATATGTTCAACAGTTTTGTGAATGACAAAGAGGTTGCATGCTAAGGTAACAGGAAATTTGTTCGACTAGAAATTGTTCGAACGGAAGTTGTTTCGGAATTAAATAATGTTAAAACATTAACAATGAAAAATGTTTATTTAAAATTTCAATTTCCCCCATATTTCCCAAACGCGTCGTGCCTTTAAAAAAATTGTTTTAAAACTAAAATATAGTCCTCTTCGTTGAACACATTTTATGATTTAGTTTCAACTGAGGCGTAAATATCAGCTCGACAGCTATGCAACACATTTTGTGCAAGAAGGAATTCTGGGCCCGAAAATAATTTGAAGTTTTAGGAACTCTTGTTTGAAATGTGGAGCTGGCCACCACCAAGCAGAAACAGTAACCTCACCTTACTGGGTGCAGACGAAAAAAACAGACATATGAATATAATGATGAATATCCCTGGGATTGATCTCAAGTTGTCGGGTTCTTTCATTGCCTTGTCCACGATCACCCAGATCATGACCCCTATGACAGCGGCGTACATGACCCTTAGACGAGAAATGTTTGATCATACATGCATGGGAAATAACTCCGACAGGGTAGATAACTGGTTGCTGCGGAAACTCATATGGAATATGGAGCCACTTAGTAAGAAGGGATGGGGCCATTTCGCTACCGACCGTTTTTGCTTTCAGACCATTTAACTAGCGACCATTTTTCTTCCGGGCCATTTCGCTACCGACCATTTATCATCTGGGACATTTCCCTACCGACCGTTTTTCCTCCGGGCCATTTCGCTACAGACTGTTTGTCATCCGGGCCATTTCGCTACCGACCTTTTTTCCTCCGGGCCCTTTCGCTACCGACCGTTTTTCATCCGGCCCATTTCCCTACCGACCGTTTTGCCTCCGACCCATTTCGCTACAGACCGTTTTGCCTCCATTTTCCTCCGGCCCATTTCGCTACAGACTGTTTGTCATCCGGGCCATTTCGCTACCGACCTTTTTTCCTCCGGGCCCTTTCGCTACCGACCGTTTTTCATCCGGGCCATTTCGCTACCGACCGTTTTGCCTCCGAGCCATTTCGCTACAGACCGTTTTGCCTCCGAGCCATTTCGCTACCGACCATTTTTCCTCCGGCCCTTTCGCTACCGACCGTTTTGCCTCCGGCAATTTCGCCGCCTACCGTTTTGCCTCCGGCCATTTCGCCGCCTACCGTTTTGCCTCCGGCCATTTCGCTACCGACCGTTTTGCCTCCGGGCCCTTTCGCTACCGAGCGTTTTGCCTCCGGCCATTTCGCTACCGACCGTTTTGCCTCCGAGCCATTTCGCTGCCTACCATTTCCTTGACTAAGATAAATGGAAAGTATTGAAATTTAAAAAGTGAAAATTACAAAATAATAAAAAAATTGAAATTTTCTCATCACTTAAAATGGTTGCTATAATCATAATTTAAAAATAAACATTAAAAAAAAACAAAAAAACATGAATCCAACCTTACAACTTTCAGCCTAAATCAACGCCAGTCGTTTTGAGGCTTTATTTGCTTTGTGTGCTTGCGTCCAGGGGTGGGGAGGGGAGAGGGGGTGTTCAGAGGAACAGAGGCGTAGCGAGAGGGGTGCAGGGGGGACAGATGTCCCCGGGCGCCCGGTATTTAGGGGCGCCAAAATGTGCTTTGATATTATTTTATTGATGAAAATAATGGGTTGAGAGTTGAAAAAAAACATAGGGGGCGCTTTAAAATGGATCTTGTCCCCGGGCGCGAATCTTGTCCCCGGGCGCCAAACACCCTCGCTACGCCGCTGCAGAGGAAGGCTATTATTGGGGGCGGACGGCCCTTGTCGAGATTTCGTTTTAAAGTGCTAAGAAAATCAATTTGAAGAAATGAAACGTTTAGCCCATATCAATGTATCCACTCGGGCGACGAGGTGGAACTACCAAAACCATCTACAAACAGATAACCACAAACAAAACTTTACCGTTTACATAGATAAATGTTCCTCGATATGTTTATAATTCTCCCGTGTATTTAAATTTTCACTTTTAAAAAAAAAAATCGTTTAAATAATTTCTTTATCACAATAGGCGAAACGGCCAATGAAATAGTTCTGTGGTGAAAGGTAGGGGGGCGAATCGTCATAGTTCCATGGTGAGAGGTATTAGACTATTTGGGAACTGAGCAGCTCCAAGAACTAATGGAATTGATCAAGGGACGTATGAAGAGCTACGTAAATAATAAATTGTTCAGCTAAAGAAAAATAAACCTTTAATGAATTTATGGGTACAAAGAAGAGGATATACTTGTTTTTAGGTTATTTTATCAATTTTAACATTAAATCTTTCACATAGTATTTATGGTTTTGTTTTAAATATTTAAATGCACATGTTGAGCGGAGTACGAGACTCACAGAAGTTAGCCTAAATGTTTTGACAAATGAGGATTTTAACTGCTTTTTTTAATTGTCTTTCTTTTTTAAAGACATCTACAATAAACTGGTCAATATTATGTTATCCACCCTCCTCCTCCCCAAAAAACCAGGTAAAAATTCTTCAGCACTGACCAACGTAACGAGAATCGGACTGCGTCGCGACGCTTTCTCCACACTGGCGTGAGTGAACTTGACCCTGTGACCTTTTTCATGAAGACTTTAAGACCATGTCTAATGTAGCTCCTGCTTGCTATGATAACAGCCACAATTGTGCATGCCAGCAATCTGTATGCGCCTTCGTCGTTAAACCTAAATCATAGAAATAGATCACGTCTCTGACAAACTAAATTATAGAAATAGATCACGCCTCTGACAAACTAAAATATAGAAATAGATCACGCCTCTGACAAACTAAATTATAGAAATAGATCACGCCTCTGACAAACTAAATCATAGAAATAGATCACGCCTCTGACAAACTAAATTATAGAAATAGATCACGTCTCTGACAAACTAAATCATAGAAATAGATCACGCCTCTGACAAACTAAATCATAGAAATAGATCACGTCTCTGACAAACTAAATCATAGAAATAGATCACGTCTCTGACAAACTAAATCATAGAAATAGATCACGTCTCTGACAAACTAAATCATAGAAATAGATCACGTCTCTGACAAACTAAATTATAGAAATAGATCACGTCTCTGACAAACTAAATTATAGAAATAGATCACGTCTCTGACAAACTAAACTATAGAAATAGATCACGTCTCTAAAAAACTAAATCATAGAAATAGATCACGTCTCTGACAAACTAAATTATAGAAATAGATCACGTCTCTGACAAACTAAATTATAGAAATAGATCACGCCTCTGACAAACTAAATTATAGAAATAGATCACGCCTCTGACAAACTAAATCATAGAAATAGATCACGCCTCTGACAAACTAAATTATAGAAATAGATCACGTCTCTGACAAACTAAATCATAGAAATAGATCACGCCTCTGACAAACTAAATCATAGAAATAGATCACGTCTCTGACAAACTAAATCATAGAAATAGATCACGTCTCTGACAAACTAAATTATAGAAATAGATCACGTCTCTGACAAACTAAATCATAGAAATAGATCACGCCTCTGACAAACTAAATCATAGAAATAGATCACGCCTCTGACAAACTAAATCATAGAATTAGATCAAGTCTCTGACAAACTAAATTATAGAAATAGATCACGTCTCTGACAAACTAAATTATAGAAATAGATCACGTCTCTGACAAACTAAATTATAGAAATAGATCACGTCTCTGACAAACTAAATCATAGAAATAGATCACGCCTCTGACAAACTAAATCATAGAAATAGATCACGTCTCTGACAAACTAAATCATAGAAATAGATCACGTCTCTGACAAACTAAATCATAGAAATAGATCACGTCTCTGACAAACTAAATCATAGAAATAGATCACGTCTCTGACAAACTAAATCATAGAAATAGATCACGTCTCTGACAAACTAAATCATAGAAATAGATCACGTCTCAGACAAACTAAATCATAGAAATAGATCACGTCTCTGACAAACTAAATCATAGAAATAGATTACGTCTCTGACAAACTAAATTACAGAAATAGATCACGTCTCTTACAAATAGAAACGTTTATTACACTGGGATTAAACATAGCATAAACCACGGTTCTCTAAGTAATGATACGGTCAAGTTTTGTATTAAAATGATATTAGCTAGTCAAACAATATACAGAAATACAAACAAATACTTTCTAAATTGACAGATTACATTTCTTTGGTGCAATCAAAGTATTTGTATTCTTTAATTCATGGGTTCTCAAACCATGGGCAGCAACCCCAAACGCAAACTGCGACGAGCGCCCTGTGGGCTACACTTGCGTCAACAGTGAAGAAATGATGAATTAAAGCTACCTTCAACAGAAATCGTTATTGTAGCAGATTCGTGTTTACAGAAATGTAGTGTTTCGTTATTTAGAGATATTAAGTGGATGATTTCTGATCATGCGCAGAGGACAGGAAAGGGGGTAGATGAGAGAGAAGAACAAGCATGGATCCCTCACGTCTGTTAGGAGTGAAGAACTATAAATGAATGAGAGCACACTTGTAACGTTCTGGTATTTCAAAGTAGCGAAAATTATATGATTCCATTCTTTTTATTTACTGCGTTATTACTGTGACTGTAAAAAAGTTGTGTGCAGACACTGGAATTGATATTTTCATTAACAGTAATACGAATAAAGTTTATTTGAAAATCACGCTTCATCCCCAAAGGCTCGAAGCGCGGTACAAAGTCAAACATATTAAAAGAGTCATGAAAACAATCTGTATTTTACCACATTGAAATACAAAACGCAACATTACAAAAATTACACACGAGCATACCCATTCAAAGTCGTTCATCCCTTGCAACCATAAACTACACAAGCCAATATACATCTAGGAGATAATAGCTAGCTAGCTGGAAAAAGATGGGAGACAAAAATCACCATCGCAGAGCCATATTAAATGGTTGAGTGACATGAGTCAATCGAGAATTTTGTTTGGTAAATAAATACTGGAAAAGTATGTGATTGGGCTTGAAAAGAAAAGACGGGGCAATTAAACAGGCGTTTCGGCCAGATGCCTTCTTCAGCAGACAAGACAAAACAAGAAGGATAAGAAATTTTGAATTTAAAAAAAGAAATTAAAAAAAAAAAACAACGTATGCTTTGTAAAAATCTCAATGCAACCCCATGTTTAGAACCGGAAGCTTTAGAATGGGGTGATTGATTTTGTGTCAATATGACGAATCACATGTCACCAATGACGTACATAGGGCGTTGCAAAGGGACCACCCGCCCTTGGTGACACTGTTTAAATTTTATTTAACATTAAATAAATAACTGACAGGGTTTTTCTAGATCACGTGGGGGTGGGGGTGGCAGATTTTTGGGAGTGACCACATGTTGTATTCACTCAAGGTACGCAGCTGACTCTATAAAATGGGTTCAAAACTAAAATACGTTTCGGACCCTGTTCTCTAAATACTTTGTTTTAAAAAGGGGGGGGGGGGCAAAATATTTTTCATGTCTTTCCAAACTGATCTAAAATCACGAATCATCTGAACATAAATAAATGCAGCTAGGATTACCTGTAACACATAGCGGCAATTACATAAGCAAAATATCCCAAAAGCAACACGATCGTCAACAGGTAGCCTTTTGTTTTCTTCAGGATATACGCCAAACATATAAGAATATACTTCCGACTTGATAAAATGATTCTAGGCACAAGTCCTTTGGTCTGCCCTTCTTCATTGTCATCCTCATCTTCCTCCCAGCCTTCGTCGTCCTCGGGTGATGGCTTGGGAAGTAGTCCTTGCACCTCTATCTCGACTACTGGCTATAGATAAAACAATAAGATTTCAATATAAAAATTTCAATGTAGATAATCTTTTTCTGTTTTGACAAGCCGGTGATATTCGCAGAACACATTTTAATTTGAGGTTTCAAAACAAATGTACGTCTAGAAGTGTATAGAAAATGTCAAGATGACTCCTCAGGCACTAAACGAATATTTATTTTTATTTTTAAGATGAACAATCCATTTTTAAGACAACAGAAAACAGGGAACAGCTGCCAAGCTATGCTGATAGAATGAAGAGTAGCTAAGAAGCTTATCAGTACTAACACGACTGGGGTCATATCAGTCAGTAGGTATTACCACAGAAAGACTGGACAAAAATGTAAGTGGTCAGCTCCTCCGACAAACGTCAGCCTTTTAAATGTGTCAACGCCGATTTCGCCGAGGACGCCAACACTGACAAAGAGACTTAGCCAAACGACTAGATACTCAGACATCCAAGAATAAAGGAGGAGAAAGTCCAAGCTTATTTATTACAACTGTTCTTATTTCGACCCTTTTTTGCAGGTGCCAGACCTTGGCTCGGAAAAAGAAAAGCGAGAGAGAGAGAGAGAGAGAGAGAGAGAGAGAGAGAGAGAGAGAGAGAGCCAGAGAGAGACAGAGAGAAATTGGCTTGGTCATGTGGTCACCTGCCCCGTCAAACAACTATACACTGAAAGCTTACTATAGGAGACACAGAGGCAACTAGCTTTTAAGCCCAAAGTAGGACCGTGACGTCGGTAGATCGACTGTTAAGGACAGCCTCAACCTCTACACANGAAACTTTTAAAATAGTAGACACCCCCCCCCCCCCCCAAGTTCCATTTTATTGACGTAGTGGGTGTAATAATTCTAAGAACAAACTTCATTCATCTTTTTTATTTTGTTACATTTGCTGGAACACAGTTCCAACATAAAAGCTCGACTCAAAAACTAGTGGGGATTTTTTTTTAATTAAAAGAAAAATAAATAGAGACCATGATGCGTCCATCGTTAAAGATAAAAGGATTGACCAAAGATGTCTTGAAGTTCCACTTTCAACACGATATTCTTCTGGATGCCATTATTTAGCACACTTTCTCGAAACCAATGATCATGTGCACGGCTTTGCGTTCGCTCTCATATGAAAATACACTTCATATAGCAAGCCCGAGAGAAAATTGGATTTATTTACAAGTACACTAGGACTGGCCACATAATAATTATAGTAATACTATTAAAAGCAACACATATTTTCATTTTAACAGCACTCACGTCAGCGTTCTGCTTCAGCTTCTCGCTGGCATCGTGATTTCTCGGGGAGACCTCTGCGGTGGCGTCTGCTCCAAGACTTTGCTCATTAGGGTGTGATTCCTTCGAGTAATGCTCGCCGAGAACGGTCTCACTCACATCGTCAATATCGAAGCTTTGATTGTGAGTTAACCTGACCTTGATCCCGCCATTTCTTCTTTCCAAACTGTTGAGTTTGCCTTCAGTAGCCCCGGCGATTTGGTCTAAGGTTCTCTGGCCGTTCATTATGTCAGAACCGGTAGACATTTTAGAAAAAAAAAAAGAAAAAAAAAAAGAGAATATCCTTAAACTGTACGTTCAGTTGCTTGATCTTTACTGTGGCGCACACATCACCAAAAAAGTTACTGTAAATAAATATTTCAGAAGTTCATAAAAGTGCTCAAAATCTACAAAGAGCATACTTCATCTATATAAAGATGGAAATTAATTTAAACCATTTCATTATTTTTTTTTAAT